GCAGGAAAACAAGTTCCATACCTCCTCCCCAACACCCCCCGCAGCAGTACAGGTCACCACTCTGAACAGGCAAATAAACTGCTCCCTCAGTGAGGGTACAAATGGGAGACAGGGGAGCCCTGTATAAGGCAACAACTGCCCCACAGTTCACAAGAAGGTAATTATTTTTCAGTCTTTTCTTCTCTCAGATGACAATGTACTTGCGCAAGGCTGCTCTCTTGTAAGGTCAAGACAAAAACTACCATTTTGGTTTGACTGTAAGATACTGATGGGCTATCAGATAATAACCCGCTGTGTTCCTCACCAACCTGTGAGATGCATGGTTTCAAGGAGTTCAGACACCAGCTTACTATCTTCTTCTAATTCCAGCTGGATTAGGCCTAATTTCTTCCTCATCTTCTGTAAGTAATGTTTCTCAAATTCTGCATCATACTCCTCTTCCAGGATGAGTTCACTTATTTCCAAGGGCAGCTCTGGAACTAGAGCTTCAGCAAGCTTCCCCAGGTTCCACTTGCAAATCTCCGGCTGCTTGTTGTAAGCATAGCGCCCTGTATTATCAGAACCATTGCAAATGTGCTCAGGGTCATATCTACAAATGAAGAAATAGTTAGCATTCTTCTAGTTATCTGGACACCAATACCGTGAGAAGTATTACTTTTATTACTTTAGTCTCCTCTAGGAAACTAAAAAATTCGAAAGGGAACACTCCTTCTTGATTCTTTTCCCAAAGTTAACCTCATTAGATACTTAACCTCTCAAACATGAGAAACCCCACAGGCTACAAGAACAGTCTAACAGTTAGAGATGTTGTGAATGCAGTTAAAAAGAAGTGGAAAAGAAGAATTACAGGACAACTAGAACTAACTTAATCTACTTTGCCGTAAAGAGGGTTCATAAATCTACTTTAGAGTTAAAATATTAAAGCAATCGTGAACATCAGGATTGTTCTACACATATGCACATTTCAAATAATTATGCCACACTGACCTGTCCATAAATCCAAAAGGGCCATAGTCAATAGTTAGTCCAACTATGCTCATATTATCTGTATTCAGCACACCATGGCAAAACCCAACACACTGCCATTCAGCAACCAATCTCGCTGTCCGTTTTGTTATCTAAAAGAGAAATTTTTTTTCATTTTTCAACACAATGTGTTTCCAATACATTCATGTATTTCCAAGCATTTCCTAGTCTGAACTGATGTTTCTACAGCTCCGATGGAAGCAGATTCTGGCAGTATGCCATACACACACTTAAGGACAGCTTGCCTCTCTCCTCCTGAACTGCCCTGTTTCTCAGTCTCCCATTTCTGTTTGCCTCCTCTTCTTTCCTTCCATGCTTGACTTGCAAGTCAACCAGACAGCTTTAAAACGTACTGGAGACAGAACGCTGCAATAAGGTAAATTGTTTGACACCAGACTTGCGTACTCTTCTAGTCATTATACAAATATATTATTTTGCTTACTACTAATTTTAAAGACCCTTTAACTACAGGCAGGAGAAAACATAAGCAAAGTCTAAGAAATAAAATTAACTATATGCAACAAAGCCCAACATAAAGTTAGTCTTTTGGTTTACCTGGTATGTAGGAGTGATTTACAGGAAGGTAAGTGGTTTACACAAAAAATTATTCCCTGCTAACAAGTTTTAGTACTGATAAGCACTTCCCTGAATTTGCTGAGAGTGGAAAAAAGCTATACGGTTAAGTAAAAATATTCCAAGAATGACAATTTCATTTAAATGCAATTCTTCATTGAATGCATGCTTCATCAGAGTTTTTCCATTGCTTAACTGAGAGTTATTGTTGTGGAATCCTTGACTGCGATCACTGCCTGCGCCCCATTCTTCAAACAAATACTGTAATATTTTAAATAGTTCTAGTTATTTAATTAAATTAGCCCACTTGTCAACTACAACTAGATATGCCCTATGAAATCTAAAATTCAGGAAGCTAACCTGGCTTTTATGTAAATGTAGGTATTTCTAAATACTTTACTGAATTGCTGTAAATAAAAATTTTATGCAGCCATTAGCTGAAACTTTTAAATCAAACTATTTTCATAGCTAAAATCACTCATCTTCCCAAATAGCTATCAATGTACAGAAATTTAAAGCAACTATTCTCTCCAGGCTGCAGTGTAAGTGTATTTTATTAAGGTTTAAAAAACCCCATCTAGTTAACAGAGGAAACGTTAGTTTTATGCTTCTGTCTTCAAACCCAGAATTTTTCCATTTTCCTTTTTTTAAACACGTGCAGTCAGGTATGGAAGAAAAATTAGAAAAATCTTGCCCTGGGCTAATCCGACAGGTAGTAAAAACCACAAATGATGCTTGGAACAGAAGCTTTCGGTTCACCTTGAGATCCCATGCTTCTACTTTTTACAATATTCTCATGTTAGGTACTTTACCCATTTTTCCTGAACGCTGCTTCATGGGGCTGTTGGCAGCCAGCTACACGTGTCCAAAACTGATTACTGGCATGCTATAAGCCAGTAAGGGAGATCCACCCTGTACGATGGCTCTGTGCCAGGAAGAGGGTAAAACTTAAAAATAAAAAAATCCTGTCCACCAGGGTTGGGATGAAAGCACGCCAGCAGTTAGGCAATTCATGACTGCTGGATGTCTTTGTATGAATGCATCACACGCTGCCAGTGTTCTGGTAAAAAAGAAATCCTGCTAATGAGAACACCTGAAAGCAATTAAAGTTTGGGCGCCACTCAAAGATGGGTATATTGATTAGAAAGAGACGGCTTTGCACTCACTTTGACCTTTATTCTTTTTGATCACATTTTTCTACTGCTAGCCATACTAGAAAACAAGTATGGTGTATATATAAATAAGAGCACTATCTCAAGGACGTGCTCATTTAAATTTAAACGACGTCTACAAATTATTTGAGAAGTACAGATAATGGTGTTTGCTTTCTAGACAGTGCTGTCAAATGCAATCATTTGTAATTTTTTCCTCCCTTTCTTCCACAGCGCAAAAAGAAAGGTAAAACACCTTACAGTTGAGCTGACAGCACTTCCCCACTATTAAAAAAAGATGGACGTGTTTGTCAACTTAGGTAAGGGACTGGGGTGCTTTTCAGGTGGAGAAAGGTATGGAAAGTCTCCACTAAGGAGGAGAGAAAACATGAAGAGGCAGTGCCAGCGCAGGCACGGAGCGGGGACAGGCACGGAGTGGGGACAGGCACGGAGCGGGGACAGGCACAGGCAGGAGCAGCACAACAAACAAACAAACAAAAAAATGGAGACGGGTCAATAAGGAAAGGATGCCAGGATGGGGGGAGGAAACCAGTAGTAACTGGGCCAGGAAAAGCAGCCAAAAGCATAAAGAGCAAGGACTGGGCACACACACACGTCCGCAAAGATCTGCAAGGCCCACGAGTTTTCTGCAATCAGAAAGTAAACATGCCATGAAGTAGAGAGCTGGACATGCACATGGTGGGTGACAAGCAACAGTACTCCTCATCAACTCCAATCATTCAAACGCAAAAGGCCTGTCCAGTGAAGTTAAACGCCACAGCCTGCTTTGGAAGAACTAATGCAAGTATGCACAGGTTGTGTTAAAGAAAGAAAAAAATCCCCGCCCCCCTTCCCCCGCC